TTACTGGGCGCTGCGGTGCTCCCCACACACCTTTCTCCACACTTGCACCTCTTTACTCCTAGAAGATTGTATTGCTTTTTTCGTGTTCGCGTTAAAACTGTGAATCGTTCAGTACACGGTTTGCATAACTAGATTAGCATTTTCCACACGCAGTTCGCTTTATGCTGCTCCGAAGCACCAACGGAAACTGCCGCCACGTACACCCAGTCGGTGCGGGTGTGGGAGGTGGTAAAAAAAAGTCATCCTCCACTTCCACTGCCTTACAGCCATTGACCACAGTTTGATCCTTGAGTCTATCGTGGTGATGATCCATTTGTGTCATGGTGTTTGAAACGCCCGTGCGAACTCGGGAGGCCACTGCGCACAGTCAAAGACTGCTTCAAAAATTCGTTTAGACTTTGCTATGCTTGGTACTTTGTCGACTATGTTGAATGTCCTCCCCACATATGTGACGTAGATGGTGTGCTTAAGGCTGTGATTCTTTTGTATACCACGTGGAAACGGGGGCATTGGATGAATCTTCACTCTACCGGATAGTTTTCTCATCTGAGAAACGCAGACAGAAAGTGGTGGACTCATTAGTTTGAAGTGTGTAGCGTTTTCGCACGTGTAACTCGCTCTGATTGGCAACTATAGTACTGGCTGACAGCACAGTCTAATGGGGAATTAGTTCGAAGCCGGTGCATGCAGGGCCAATCAAGCTCCTCCCACACTTTCATCGATCAATCAACAAACTAGCGGTAGTTTCACGGACCAGTCGAGCGGTTCAGGATAAGTTCGGTCTCGCGGCATTGTTCAAGGCAACGCAGATATGGAGCGATCGATGCAACAGGGAATGTAAACCGAGCGTGGGTCACTACAGTTGGGCTGATGGCATAAGGCGGAAAGCAAGAACGAGCAAGTCAACATGAGTACCAATGACACCTGTGCGAATCTTCGTACAGAATAAATTAGCATTCCATTCTTGTTTTTACTGTCAAAGGCTTACACGACAACGAACTGCTTCTCGAACTCCCTTTTAATTCACTCGAATTAGCCTGTCTTCAATTTGCTGCTAGCTTCATTGCGCTTGGTTCATGCTTTTGCAGCAAGCAGGAGAACAACTTGTCGATTGAATCATGCCTGTGGTGAGCAAACTAATCTCGCACTGACCCTTCTGCTGTGCTCTGCGTAGTTACCAGTCTCTTGACGCATTACATAGGCTGCTGTCATGATTATCTACCTATCACGCGCACAGTTCGACCAAGGTGTTGCGGGCACTGCTGCTTGTGCTCACCAACCACGGAGGTGCACTGGTCCATCGATATGACTATATACGCGGATCCCTCCGGGGCACCACCTCCCCCTCCCACTGGTGCTTGACTCCACTTACTCCGAATTGGTTCCCAAGACTACTCATAATCGAGCTCGGACAGCGTCGTCCCCAGTACACGTTGGTTTTTTCTGCTCAGCACCCTTTTGTCGCGTTACACGCCAACGGTTGCCTGGGAATACTCACAACCGCGGCCAAAATCGAGGTACTTATCCCCGACCTTTTTGCGATTGGTGACCTGGGCTCATGTTGACCTTGCCCATCGGTTGTTTTCTGGGCTATACCAACTGGTGCTTATGATTAATAGCGATATGTGAATCATTGACCTCGCACCAGTGAGACATGCACCACCTGTACACTTAGCACTTCCCAGTGGAACTTTTCGAGAAATCGGATGGCACTTTATTTATCGCTATACTCTCAACCAGCAGAGCTTTCATGGACACACTGTCAGCCATTAATTGTTCTCTATTTGTTGTTTTATCCTTGTATTCTGCTTAGTCTTCGTTAACTTACTAACTGCTCCTTAAAAGCTACCAATCGCTGTGTTTTTAACGACCTCCTTGACTGTTACTTAAGCTAGTGATATCATGCGTTTACAAAGCAACGTTGAACTCTTCACCTGTTCACATATACACAGATTCACCGGAGGTATCTGCCACCTCTATGAAGAAACTAGGGTGACCACTGAACTCTACTGCGTAACTCTACTATCTGTTTGCATTCTTTAATCAACCTGCTGTGACGATCACTTTTTGTCGATCTTTTGAGTGGTCGCCTTAGACAGCTTTGACTGTACTGCGATGGAAGCCAGCATTGCTTCAGAACCGAACCGCATTCCTGCACTCATTTGAAAAGGGGGAAGCACCTTGTCAATATCAGGGATATCAATTAGCAGTTAACTAAAAGGCGAAAAAATTAACTCACAGACATATGTACGCACCGACTGCAACGATACAGTAGCACATGTTTCACACATGCGCACCGGACATCACTGTCCTGGTTTAGTAAACGGAATCGTAGGCAGAGCAGGTGGAAATTTGATGTTATCCACCTGCACACCACTCCACGTTTCGACCTTAATTGCTCGGACCAAGTCGAGATAGTATGCGTCGAACCCGGGGCCATTGGGATGTTAGTTGGATTCTCCATCTCTTTAGCCACTAGGCCACGACAGGCTAACTGATTGGAGGGTCATTTTGTGATAATCGTCGTGTGATGGGGTTGCGATACGCAATCGCAATGTGGACCGTCATTCACCTTGAAGTGAACCTTAGGCAATTCGGTCACTAGGACCGTAGCTGAAGCGTATAGGAATTGGGTGTTGCCCGCCCGAAGACCTGCACTCCCCTACGCGTTTCCACCATGTTTGAACTCATCACATAGAGATAACAGGCTTCGAAGCTGGGACCCTTTAAAGTTAGTCAGACCTCTACCCTTCTAGGCAACAAGTCACGACGCAGAACGTTTTACACAACGGTTTATGACTGATTTTAGGATTATTTTATGGTCATCGTTTGGGTTAGATTGCGACCCGCAGTCATAATGTAAGGGTAGAGGCCCCAATTGACATTCCGATGGTCCCCGATTCGAGGCATACTTTATCCACCTGAGAAGTCGAAACGCATTATGGATTGCAGTGTTTTCGGGCGGTCAACACCCAATTTCCAGCTGCTCCAGCTGCGGTCGTAGTGCTCGAAATGGCCAAGTTCGCTTCCATACAGTTCGCGTCGCGCCACACATCGGGTACTTCAAAGTGACCCTCCAATCGTAAGCAGAGTGCTTAACAAGCGCAGTGATGCTTACTTATCCAACTTACTTCCTCGTCGCTTCGATATTAGCCTTTCGTGATCATGTTGGTGTCTTGTCAGACCGGTTTGGCTGGCACTCGGAACGCATGTGATGCAGTACCGCGCGTTTGATTTCCATGGGCGCCTGTCGCTTCCGTGACCGGCGCTTTTCTTCTCGGTGCAACAGTTGTTTCCAGCGCACTTTGGAAACGGCATTGGTGATGTGGTCACGTCATTGCTTCCTAACACCTACAGTCAACATTAATTCGCCCATTTTCTAAGCGTGTGGCGGGAATCATCAATTATTCCAAGCAGTCGTCCGTCGTCCGCTTTCTTTCTGTTTGCACGCATTACCACTCCTAATGATTTTTCCCTCTGTGATGCACCGATACGGACGAAATACTTCAATATCCTTTCGATTATAGGTGAGGATTAATTGGTCGACCCGGATTACCGCGGAAAGCGTAGTGTTCATGCCCACCTTCTGACCAGCGACTTACCTCGACTGTGCTACGGTGTTCCACCGTACGAGTCATTGGACAACCACAACTGTCGAATAGGTCACTTAGCGAGGGAAATGTCAATGTCCACAGTTAACCGCATTTCTACTTTACCGTTGGGCACATGACATTTACACTGGGCTCTTGTGTTATGACCAAGATAATAAATTGGATTTTGAAACTTCCCGCGTCGATCTGAAGGAAATCTACTCTAAAAGGTTGACGCACTTGAATATCCACTTTCAACCCCTCACACGTTGTCTACAGTGGGTAGTGGTTTCAAGGCCACATATCGAATCGAGCCTTCATCTCGTCGACCTAATTATTTCCTACTAGTAATAATGTGTCAGCTATACGCCGTAACGGCGCTTCGCTGCCGCTCGACCACCACCAGTCATGCGCAGGCTGAGTATACCGCGAGGACGCCCACCCCTACGCGGATTCGAACCGGTGACCTTATGGTTGCAAAGCAAACGTGCAGACCACTTTTCCACCGGCCGACATTTCCTACTGCGACTGATGGGTCTTTCCCCGCTACTCAGCACATACGCGCCCACACGCAGAGTACTTTCCTTTCAACTGCGCTTTATCCACTCCTCGTCATTGTAAACTTTAACACGCTATGTTGTCCTTTCGAATGATTATGTGTGATTGTGTCCGATTAATTGTGATGCTTTCCATTCAACCCGTGCGAAAACCCTTTCTGCTCCATTGCGGACACCACAAATCCCATGCCACTGTGACGTTGCAGTATCTTGTGCTAACATTGTCTTTTGCGTGCTCGAGCAACTTGGAGGTGAGGGGCTACCTGCTTCCGCATCTGTTTAGTGGCTCTTTCTCATCTGTGACAGAATGGAAAACTTTTTCTTCGTCTCCACATCGGATATAAGGAGGTTTGATGACCGAGTTCCGTCAAACTGAAAAACTACTCAATACGAAAATGTTACCTAGAGCACTGGGGTGTGACAGTCCTGGTTGGCACCTACACCACTGTTTGATAATGAATATTTTTCAGTGTAAACAGGAAGGCCAAATTAACGGCCTGATGTGAAAACACTCGATTGCTGGGCTGAAAGAACGTCATTTGCATTACAGGGAGTAGCCAAGTAACTGTCCCGAACTCTTGAACCATGGTATGTCAGTTTGTGTTTCTGAACACTGATGATACTGGCCTCCACATCCCCCTCTCATGGATATGTAGATCGCTCGACTATTAACTATTTCCTCTAGCTTTTCTTTCTTTTTTCCTTATGCCTCGTTCGTTTTCGTTGCGTCAGTGCTCAGTAACTCATCTGCAGGCTGCTGCTCTACGTCCACCAACATTTTTGGATTTTGGTTAACCGACGAACTGTCCATATGCGTGCATCCGCATTCCTCTCCCCTTTTTTCATCCTTCAGATACGTTCTTCTGTTTAGCTCATTCGCCTCTTAAGTCAAACGGCGGATCGAAAGAGCCCAGATCGCGTGCCAGTTCAACCGGTGTTTCCGCTGCTGATCGATTACGCGGTGAGTTTGTTCGTTTGTAAACTGCCGTTGCCTCTTGACTGATTCCTTCGCTTTCGATTCCTACATCCCTCTTTTGAATACATCACTGATGTCTGCCTCACCACAGCTTTTGGAAGCGATTCGTTCCGAAAATCCGAGCAACACCATGTTGGACTTATTCCGCTTTTATCGCTTCATCGGCATTTTGTCCGTGTAATTTTGGCCAGTTCATCCCACTCATACGTCAGCATCGGTTTAAGCGCCCCAGACTGCTTGTTTAATGTTTAATTGTTCTAACTCAGATACTTGACTTGTGCAACTTTTATCCAACTAATCGACGCCTAAACATCTCATCGGAGCCGCCACCGTCTTTCCGTATCGATGGTGAAAGATCCTCGGCAGCAAGCGACTTATTCCGTTTCAGTATTGCCATCTCGTGTCGGACCTCGTCGACGCTGTGACTTGTTTCACCAGAGTCCTAGGTGGGTCCTGGTGACCCAATCAACGATTCCGATGTGCCGGGCCAGCTGTACCTCTCTTCTAAGTACCTATCTCAGCGTTCTGATGACGTGGCTCACAAAGTGAATCAGATGGAGGCAATTTGTTTCCTTTGTTCGTTGAATCAGCTGGAACAACACTAGTTTTCTCAGTGGCATCTCGCTGACCTTTGCCATCCATCATCTCTCACGGTCAGTTGTCAAACCTCTCTAATCAGGCGACGTTTCTGAGTATCACGACACTTAGTTGAAAAACGGGACTAGTCTCTCAAGTGAACTGCTTCACCCTCGATATAATTTTGTTACGTGGTCACAACCGGTGGACGAGGAAGCCGATGTCCACTCTGGGCTACAACTGCAAAAGCATGTCATCGACATCCATTCCTAATCACCTTGTCTAACGTCTGTTCTGTGTAGTAAACCAACTCTTGGTATAGGGATAATGCCGTTCATGTTGAATAGTGCTCTGTCGGATCTTACCATCCAATAGTCTGTTTGATCTGCTGTCGTTTTACGCCAGCGTCAATCACAAACCCGTCGTCTTGCACATCGCTGTGACAGCGTTCAAATCGCGAGGGAACTGCATTATTTAGAAACTTCATCTTTCCATAGCCTTACCGATGATGTCCGTGATCCGTGTCGAAGTGACCCTCGGTAAATCGAAAACAAAGTCGTTACCTCGATTGACATTATCTTCTTCAAAGAACACAAACTCATTTTATACCTCGAATCAATTAATATCACCCACAAATTAGCGCATTTCATCCGGTTGTTCCTCTCGCGGTATACACTTGAACTTTGTTCTCGCCATTCCAAACCACTCGACGGCTTGATGCCATCGACACGCTCATTCGTGTTCAATTTGCGCCTATCGAGGCGAGCAAACAAGTGGTCGATCGAGGATCATTGCTGCTCGCTCACCAGCTACCACCAGAGTCCGCGGTCTCAAAAGTGTGCATCCTCGTGGCACCACCGCCCATCAGAGTGCTGTGCATTGTTCCGTCGTACCGTTGAACGCACCTGCTGCGAGGACTCACCACATTGATGCATCTTAGTGAAAATAACGAGCAAACGAATTTGGATAGGTTCTTGAACTGGATATTAACAAGCATGATGGAAACAGTTTTATAATGGTAAAGGTGAACGGAGATTTTTGTCTGCGAATAGCTACCTTACACCGTTTCATCGGCAAGGCCACTAGTTTGGTTTCACTTGTGCGACCCCATGTCTGTTCCGAGTGTTTTGGGCGCTTTATTCTGCTGTGCTAGTGAGGAGGAAGGATGCTGACTGATCCTGTTCAACAACACTCCTGTCGGTGAGCATACAATGTGTGTTGTGTGGTTCCCCGTCAATGCTGCTTCCACCCACTACAATAACGCGGAAAGTAGTAGGAACACCGTCGTTTTCCATAGCAAAAGCGTTAACGGACGTGCAGCGATCAGAACCAACCAGATGGTTAAAAACACTCGGCCGAGCAAAGAACCAATCACAAACCAATAATTTACGAAACAATCAGATGCGAGAAACTGGAGGTTAGCGATAACGTTAATGCAATAGGGGAAATTTATCCGCCACTAAGTGTATCTACGCTCAACCGCCAATACGAATGGCAAAGTGATTCGTTGCGACAAATAACGGTGCACAAGCACACATAAACGGAGATATGCAGTTGCAGACTTTTATATAAGCGTTCTTCTAACAAAGTGCGGAGCTATTTACATGCATGGGCTCTACCTGAAATTCTGAAGCGAGTCACCAACAGAACAAATCTTCGCCCTCAACTACTAACCGAGCAATCCTGCTTATCAAATTAGTTAGGTTTTGCGGGGATTCATCGCAACCAACTTCAATCACATCGTGACTGATTCTTAGTAATTCTCTGAGCTGCCTTATGACCATCTTAATGGTTAGCTGTTTAGCAAAGGAAGTCGGTGTCTTGGGACCAACCAACTCCTCTGCTTTTCACTAACGTGTCTATTAGTGGGGGATGGGCCACGCAACATTTTAGCTGGTAGTCAGTTATGGTAGTCCGCTGTCATCATCCACATGCAGTTTCACGCGATGATAATCACAAGCTCAAATGCCGTGAGTTTCGATCGACTTGAACGCCACTGTTACGCTCCGACATTTCAAAACGGCTACCATGAATCACAGTCCGGTGGACCACAGTGCGGTGGATACACGCCATTATTCACGTCACCAAATAATACTAATAATAAAACTAGTTTAATGGGACTAAACCAGAAACAAAATCGCCGATGCAAGTAATTAATGTTCCCAAACAAGAGGACAATGCAACTGCGCTGTTAACTTCGCCAGTGCCACAGATATCCCTTTGAAGAAGGCAGCCGGCACGTAGCCTTAAGGATTACAAGCCTGTCTTGTGCTCCGAGAGCACGGGTTCGAGTCTGCATAGGGTTCGAGAAACCCTCGCAGTGTCCTTAGTCCACTTGCGACCGGTTGTGGTTGCGCGACACCGAAGCATCGGTACTGATGCCTTTGAAGAAGACGCTAAACACCAATGCGGCACATCCTTTTGGTGAGCTCCTTCATGCTATTTTACCGTATCATTGACTGAGCAGCAATGGCAAACAACACGAGCAGAAGCAGTCGGCTAGTTTGCATGCGATTAGTGCTCTACATGCAATCCAACAAGGCGCCGGTGGGCATGGTTGTTGCACTTCTTGTGGTGAATTTCAGTGTTCATTCGTTCGATTTTCCCACTGGAAATAAACCACACTTTTTAAGCATTGGTTGTAAGACATGTCCAATCTCCGCATGGTGGACGCATACGCAGTCCCCGTCGTGCTGCAGCATTATAATCTTATTCCCTAATTTATGGGATTCTCTCCCGCCAGCAGCTATGAATTCCATCAGAATGCTTCAAAAACCCCATTATTTGCCAAGTTTGACTGACTTTTTTAAGGTTTACTATCGCTTGATGTGTTCGGCAAATGATTGCAGGGAACAGAAATCCATCACGAATCTGAGGGGACACCAAGGCTACAATCCAAGTGAGGCTTCTATGTGCACAACTTTTTCGTTCGAAAACAAGCGTATTGGTTTTCAAGTCCGCCGAATGCCTTTTTTATATCGGACACGCGAACGTCTGCTTCTTTCCTGTAGTACTTCATCCCTACTAACCTTATATTTCTCTTGCGCACTTTACAGTCGTAACTTTCCAACTTAGGACAGTGTTAGATGCCTCGTGACCCATTGCATTCTTGTTGTCTCACTCCCAAGATAGAATTCTTGACGTCTTGACTAATGTGTTCATTTTTTCATGGCATCTGACTACAATTTATGTACCAGACGAATAGCATTCTCTTTCACCTTACCTTTACAAAGTCGCATAGGAACTGTTTCCCTTTTCTCTATCACCCCGCTCATTTCCTATCGATGCATGTAAAGTACCCGGAGTCGCTTTCGCAAAATGCTTAATAGCGCTCATTGTTTACCGTTCGTAGCTGGGCCACTTCCGCCAGACAACTCAAGAGCTCCTCCGGTGCAGGAATCTCAGAACCGTCCCAGTGTGCTTGCCAGGGCACATGCACTGGAAAATCCCCCGGCTGCGGTTCTCTCCCGACCAAGTCGTCGTCCAGTTTCTAATATCGACCCCTCAAAGTCCGCTCTTCTTGCTGGCTTGAGCGATGGGGACGACGCAGTAATGGGCGTGGTAGATGTCCGCGCGTTGATCCGCAATTTCCGTGGGGCACCATCAGACTCATCTACCTCTCCATCCCCTGTACGGCGGTATGTTGGGTCTCGGAAGCCACTATCAGCAGCACCTATAGGCCCTTCCGGGGATGTTCCGGTCGACCGGCTCCGCGCCCCCGGTATCCGAGACGAAGGTGCTCCGGGACCAGATTGTTTTTTGGCCGGGCATTTGGGTCTACCCGAGGTGGAACGAAGAGCGATTTGGGAATTGAACACTACCATTGACCTGCCAGACCTCTCCGTCTCCGATCTGTTGGAGCACATGCGGTATGTCGCATTCTTTTCCGTTTTCCAAATTCAAGCCTCCTTGTGCTCCAGTCTCGCTCGTTCATATTCCTCACTTTACCATGTTCCTCCAGCTTTGGTGCACGTATTAAGCTACATTAAGTAAGCCCTGCGCTGTGTGACCTGCTGTACGTCCACCTCCCCCCCCAATTCGAATCTCTCATTGTAACATCCACATAATCGATTGAGAAGATTTATACTCGCGTTTTTTGTTCACTTCGCTAATTTCCCGCGCTCTTGTGTTACCGGCTCTAGCCTCTTGTCTATCTAATTACTATTCTTTATGTGCCCACATATGCCATACCCAGTCCTGTATACCATCGTGGTCGTCCGTATTGTAACCGGACGATCGTCACGTTTTGCTTCCACCTAAAACCACCGCTACTGCTGTTACCGCTTTTATCATCGCTGCTAACCCACATTCTCAGCGGAAGGGAGTGAGAGGAAGGCATTATATGCCCGTCTGCCCCATGGACTTCACTACTCCGTAAGTGCAGCTTCTGGTTTTTTCTTCGTCAAACATATTTCTTGTTCACACAATAATGCTCCGTATTAGTATGCACCTCTGTTGATCGACCTGGCGTGCACACGACTTTCGATAGTCTGTCTTTTCTCTCCTCCATTGCTCAGCGCCTCTTTCTTGTCCCTCTCGATACTGTTCTTCCAAGCGATATTGTCCTTATGGCATTCCACTTCGGTCCTCTACTGTGCAAACCAATTTTCGCGGACTGTGTCGGTTGCGCGCCGTTGGTACACTTTCCGACCTTCTGCTCTCGGTGGTCTTTTTGGTTGGAAACTCACATGGCTCTTTATTCACCGGAACCACTTTGTTCTTTTTGTTTCGCCTCCGAGGTACCGAGATTCTCGTTGACCTTGTCAACGCATCAACTCGAATTCTGGACGCGCTCAACGAGTTGAGTTACGTAAACAGCAAAGTAAAGACATTCACCGCAGCTGTTGTTCCGCGAACAAGTCAGGATATGCCATGTTTGAAGTGTTTGGTTTGGCAACCTACCTAGGCTAAGATCGCAGTGAGACTATTTTACGATCGAATTGAAAGCTTTGATCACCTACCCATCACCCCAGTTTAGTTGACCATCTACGGTCCGTGGACCCCGGTGCGGTTAATCCAGTTGTCTTGACTTACGTCAACAAAGTTTTAACAGTAGTCGTGTCCGCGTTATTAGTAACGCTTGTACCACATATTGGTAATTCAATAGGCCTAACAGAATCGCAATCGTCAGTCGGGGATAGTTGTACAGCAAAACTAAAGCGGCCAAGGAATCGTTGCTCTTTTCAACACATTGTCTGAGCACCGGTCTTGGTATCCGCGCCGTTCGAGAAGAGCCCGACGCATGAAAACTATGCGCCGCATTCGCCACTAACTGTGACATCAGCAGCAGCGGTTCCCCAACTTTTTGAGCCGTGGGTAGCACCGCGGACTCCCTGAGATATTGTTAACCACATGACTAGACTTTACTAAACTGAGGATAAGGCTAAGTATCCTGAAGACGTTCATTACGGTAAATTGAACTGACATGGATGTTCATTTCAGTTAATAAAAAATAAAAGGATGTTAAATGTAGGTAGAAAAAACTACGTAGATCAATCCATAATTTGACAGCTGAAAATGTTTCTGACATGCAATGCTGTCTTCTTTGATGTTTGCTTTTATTGAGAAAAATTGCAACCTCCTATCTGATTGAGTCTCAAGTCTGTTGCGGCACTATTTTCGTGTATAGGTGTAAATCGCAAATGCACTTTCATCCGGATAAGTTGTGGCACATGAAAGAAGCATGGGAATAGCCACCTTCGCTATGCCAGGGTATGAGTCCTTCGTTTTACATTAGCAACACGGCTGTGACACTTTGGGAAACTCATTCTGAAAGGAAAAATCTAATACTAACTATTACTACGTCAGAATTCGACGATGAACATATCGGTGATACATCGATATTCTTGTCTTCAACTGACGGCTTATCTTTATGTTGTATGTACACATACTAAAATATGCTTTTAATGTTTTCCCTCCGAGCACCTCACAATATGCATAGCACAGCCTAGTCCGGAAAAGCACTAGACGCGTTTCGCCTTGTTGGGGCCCATTTAGTGGTGCGCATTCCCGCGGTCCCCTAATAGGATCGAACCCATGACCGCTAGAAGCAGATGCCAACTAGCCAGCAGCTTAATCCACTGCGCAATGGAGGACGTTGGCTGGGCTACATAGTTTGCAAACTAACTGGGATATAACACCACCTATCTTCCACTGTCACTGACAGTGACTAGCCTGTGAGGTGATGTCGTCCTCTCGCTAGACGCTATATCCATAGCATTTGAAACTTGCAGAAGCTATTTTTGTTTTATATTACTGGTGAGTAGCAGCATCTTTAGATGTAATCTTCTAAGCTGTTCATTTCATTAATTCATAAGCTACATATTACAGCCTAGTCCGGAAAAGCACCAGACGCGTTTAACCCTGTGGGTGCTTGTCAGTGGTGCGCATTCCCTCGGTCCCCTATTGGGGATCGAACACATGACCGCTAGAGGCAAATGCCAACTAACCAGCAGCTTAAGCCAATGAGCCATGGGGGACGTTGGCTGAGCTACATAATTTGCAAGCTAACGGGGATATAGCACTACCTATCTTCCACTACTACGCAGGTTACTACCTTAACAGATGACATTGACTAGCCTCCGAAGGTCATAACTCTTCCTGTCACTAGACGCTACTTCCATAGCATTTTAAACAAGTAGAGGCTACTCATTAATGATATAAAATGTAGCCTCTCCTAGTTACAAATGCTATGCACGTAGCTTCTAGTGAAAGGAAGTCATGACTTTCGGAGGCTAGCCACTGTCATCTGCTAAGGTAGTAATCTGCGTAACGGTAGAAGATAGGTGGTGCTGTATCCCAGTTAATTTGCAAACTATGTAGCCCAGCCAACGTCCCCATTGCTCAGTGGCTTAAGCTGCTGGCTAGTTGGCATCTGCCTCTAGCGGTCATGGGTTCGATCCCCAGTAGGAGACTGAGCCCCAACAGCGCGAAACGCGTCTGGTGCTTTTCCGGACTAGACTGTTCTATGTAGAATGTGAGCTGCTGGGACGAAAACATTAAACTTGTAATTAAACTCCTCCTACTCATTAGTAACAAGGTAAACTATAAATAGGTAAACAAACCTAATTACAGCGTCAACCACAATTTGATTACTTTGGTTAGTCGAACTTTAAATAAAGTCAGTAGAACAGTTGCCATTTGTAACGTCCCGCAACTAATTTCTCTTCAACTCGCAAAGTCAAATGAGCACACTCGTTAGACACCGAAAAATCCACGCTTCCTTTTTAGACTTCCCTAGGTTGGATCGCACCAATTGGCCTCTATTACTGATTGGTCGATTTCGGAGGATGACAACTTTCGAAATAACCACTAAAATATGCAATATATGGTTTCCTTTTTTCCTTCCCGGGGGACACATTCCGAGTTATGTGAGCTTGCTGGACGGGGAATGACCCACCAAGCCTATATTTATCGCAAAACAGGAGATTACTGCACTACCTATACTGACATTTGACGGCTTCATTCACTCCAAGTATAAGCTTCTGCCAAGCCACGTTTCCTTCTCGGAAGGAATGCTTTACGTTAGGCAATCACGAGGTGAATGTCGACTGTCAGATATGATTTAACAGTTTTTAGCTGTGGATTATTTCAGCGAATCATGAAATGAAATAACCACGTCCAAAACTTATTACCTGAAGTTTAACATTTCAAGAAATACCGCGGTCCACACTTTGAGGAACACTGCTTTAGAGAATCCATTGTGTCTGCGGACTCCATTGCGCTTCGCTGGATCAGTAACTCATCAGATCGAAAGTTATTCTACGAGTGTTCATTCTTGAATACTGGTTCCTTCAATGCTAACTCACGAATAGTGCTAATACGACTATGTATGACCCTAAAAAGTGCACGAACGCGTTCAGTTTCCGGGTAGCTAGGTGTGCACATGGACGAGGTGCTCTTCTCACATGAGACGATTGACTTACTTCCCACACATGGGCCATTGCACCCGCCTTCGTGTCGCATGGAGGCAGGTGTTGACCATAGAAAGAGTGCTTGCAGTATTGACTAGGTCTCATTGGGACTGACTCCTTCTCTGCCATGAGAATTATCCTATAACTTGAGGGTGAGCAGCATTATTAGTGATCATGTTCAGTTGGGGACACTTTCTTACGTGACCCGTAGTCTTCTGGCTCTATGAGTTGTCTATGTTCTTCTCGCCCTCCTCCGCTTTTGTTGCACGTTGCACACATTTGCCCTGGTGGAATTACATCACAACTCTTTCTTCGCAACGAGTGCTCGGTTCTATTTTAGCTGTCTATCTGTCTGGCCATTACCTGTATATCGAGTAGTGTTACAGGCCCTAATTGCCACAGGAAGGTATGACTTCATTCTTGAACTCCACCTCATGCTTTCAGGGATCTTCTCTCACTGAGAGTTACTTCCCGCGTGTACTATTCTCTCTCAATCCCCTCTCGTCCCCATTGCACCGTCTCGATGTCCTACGACAACGGACTTGTCTGTTCTCCGACTGATTTTTATCTTATTACCTATATTACTTGGGTTTCGGTCTCTAATATCCTCTAAGGAGGACAAGATTGGAACTTGTGGTAGGGAAAATTCCTTACTCTTATGTCGCTCGTACTCCAAACGGGCCAACGGTTCATCATTTACTGAACCGCTGGATTGACCTCAGATCGGATCTGCCCCTCTAATCCCAGCCAGTGAATGTACTGTGATCAATGACCACTGCTCAACAATATGAACCCTGCACACACACGACAAAGTCAAATCCCTTGACCGTATCACAAACCACGAAGCAATAGAGAGATTAACCTTTACCAAGAATCCTTGTACTAACTCAACCAAACGCAAACACAAAGTTGTACACACGTGGATTTCAAATTTGGATTTGGAGTGCCCGCTGTGC